TTGTTGTTGCTGTTGTTGTTGTTGTTGTTGTCGTTGCTGTGTCTTGTTTCCATTTTTCATGCAGCTCCATCGTCGTTAAATTTTTGCCTTTTTGGGGCTTGGAAAAAAAACGCGAGTCCAAAGTCCATAAAACATCACGACGCTGTCAGTTGTTGTTGTTGTTGTTGTTGTTGCTGTAATTTCTGTTGTTGCCGTTATGGTTGTTGTTATTATTGTTTCGGTTGGATTTTTGCTGAAAGTGGCAGAGCCACCGCAGCAACAACAACAACAACAACAACAAAAATAAAAAGCAACAAGCCAAGGTGAAGCTCTTGGTGGAGGAGTCTTTGGCATTGCGGGGTGTGGATGGGGCAGACAAAGCGGCAAACGTGCAAGAATAACTACAACAACAGCAGCAACAACAACACCAGCAACAACAACATCAACAACATCAACATGAACAACAACAATAAACACCAGCAAAACAAAATAAAAATGAGTTAAGAGAAACGGACGTTCATATTGCCTTTTATCGCTGCTCTTCAGCTTATTCTGCCTCTTCTTCTCTGCCTTTTTTGTTTTCCTTTTCTTACACATGTGCAAATTTTAAATTTCACCTACCCCCTACTCGCACCTCACCCCTCCCCACCACACTTTCTTGCAAGCACTTCTGCATCATTTTTCACACACTAAACCGTACCGAAAATCCAAAAATCGTACCGGGAAACGTTGAGAGGCGCTGCTGTTGTTGCAGACAAGTGCAATTGCTGATGAAGAGCCTTAAGCCTCTCTCCATCTCACTCACTCCCTCTCTCCCTCTGCCTGACTCTGTCTGACTTCCCGCCCCTGCACATAGTCCCAGTTCCCAGCTTCTTCTCAGCATCCTCTCATCCCACCAGTAACTGGCTATATGCTGGATCCCCATTGATGCTGACCCCACGGCTTATTGCCATGGCCTTTTGCTGTAGTTGCTTTTTACTTGTGTTGCTGTTGCTGTTGTTGTTGTTAATGTTCTTCTTCTTCATCATCTGCTTCTTCTTCTTCGCAAAACTGCGCTAAAATATAAAAAGGCCGCCGCCGATTTGGTGGAATGTGAATGCCTGCGAATGCTTCTTTTACAATCTTGAAAAAGTGCTCAAATTCGTTCTCGCATTCGCATTCGCAGATATATTGTTTTAATATTCTGTAATTTTGAAAGATTTCACGAACTACTATAAATATATCTGCTAGTTTTACTGGCCATGCATTTAAAAAATTGCAATAAAACTCAACTCTCAAGTCCTTTTTGTGAGAAAACTATAAATTTTAGCAACTTCTCAGCAACAAAGACCAGCTATCAAAGTTAGTTAGTCCTAAACAATTCCATAAAAAAACCACCAATAAACATGCATTAACAATTCGACTTGTTTTTTTTTTTTATTATTATTAGCCTGAGGAATACTCAATGCAAAAATGGACTGCACTTAGGAAACATAAATAAATAAAACAGAAAAGTCTCGGATGCTGGTGAAGTATATAAATTACTTTAGGGCAATAAACGCATTAAATGCGTTGAGAAATTCTGATCATAAATCACAACAGACAGAAAAGCACAGTAAATAATCTGAAGTATGTGTAAGATATAGACAGACTTTTGAAGATCATTGCTTTGACTAGATATAGTATAAATGTTGAGTCCAGACTTTAGTAGGTCATAGGTTTGACTTCATATTTGTTAGAACTGGTTTAAGACTCCCAATTAGAACTGATCTTCCCACCAAGATAAGATACTATTTTGGATGAATCATTGTCGACCATTTTAGGTGAACTAACAAACGCCTTAAAACTGTTGTAACTGATGTAGGTAGCTTATAATTAGATTGACTTAATGGCATTTCATGTACATAATAATATATTAAAATGACCCAGTCGACAGTTGCCCAGCCAGTTCCGTTTACGTGTTGGCGTTGTTGCTCTTGTTGCTGTTGCTGTTGTTGTTGCTGCTGCTGCGCATGCGTCACTCGCCTACTTTCCAACACACACAGCAAGCAACGACAACAATTGGCAAGCCAGAGCCGTATGTTAAAGTCAGAGTTGGAGCTACTATGAGTTGCGGACTCCAATGGTGGCTCCCGCGTTGGCGGCAGTGTCATCCCAAGAAACGGAAATTCAATTTCCGTCACGTTCAAAGCAAGCAAAAAAAAAAAAAAAAGACGAAAAGAAAAGAAAACAAGAATTCACTTCCTCGCCCATGCAGACGCACTGAGAGCTCTATTTGGCCCTTTGCCCTGCAAACGGCGATGAACCCACCAAGCCACGCAGCTATTAAAGTCAGAGGCGATGGCAGCAGGCAACATTTTCGAACGTTTCGTTTTCGTTGCCATTGAAAGCCAAAGCCAACCAGTCAACTTCATGATGAGCTTTGCCATTATCGTCATTATTAACGCCATTAATGTTGTTGCTGTAGCTGTTCTTATTGGTGTTGTTGTTGTTGTTATTGTTGCTGCTGCTGTCGTCTTTGTTATCGTCACCCACTCAACGTCAGCGCCTCAGCCAAGTGACCAACTTAATTAAGCTTGAAAGGGAAATGTTTCCTCCTACACGATTGCGTCGCTCCTACAACAAAAAGGAAGCAGCAACAGCAACAACAACAACAACAACAACAACATTGTGCTGGCTACACAACACCCCTCCCCTCTACTTCCCGCCCCTTGCGTTGCCATCCCGCACTCAGTTGTTCCTTCTGTGCAAAGCCGCTTAATGAATGAACAAATGTTTGACTGAATGAATGAGCCAACAAATTAATTAATGCAAATTATGATGCTACAACCGCATAAAAGGACTAGTATATATTATAATACCACCTACCTATAATACTTTGGGGAGAAAATGGTGTCATAAGCAACAACTTATTTCATTTTCGTGGAACTCATTTTTGCCACTTTGCCAAGTATTTGCGTAGGTGCAGAAGAGGATGTGTTGCACAGATGGGGACGGATTATGTACATAACAAGCAAAAAAGGCAACTGCTAAATGTTATAGTTATTTAAGTGTGCCAAAAGTTATTGTTGCCATCGCGTTTATTGCCATCGAGGGAAATTATACAAGAACATTATTGCAATTCAGTTGCAATAATATTTGCGATGTGTTTATTCACACAATTGTTGTTATTGCTTGAGGTAGTCTTAAATTGTTGGACTATTGGACTTGTTGTTCATCTCATTTTAATCAGTAAATAGATTTATAAATACTCATTCAATGGAAATTTTATATATAAATATAATATATAAATATTTTTTGTATATTAAATTCAACTGCAATACTTTGGGGCAAAATTGTGCCATAGTCCACAGTATTTTTCCCTTAAAGTCGCTGTGCTATTCAAGTTGATTACTGCTTAAGGTAGTCTTATAACTCTTTAAATACTTTGTGTACTTTTATACACGTTTGTACAAATCAAGTCTGTCAGCTGCCCACAAGCATTTACCATTTATTCATTACTTTTTTTTTATGGTAAACACAAAAACAATGTAAAATTTCCAGTCAATTACAATCACTACTCGGCTCCGCTGTTTGAACACAACTCACCAAATGCCAATTCTAATTACACTCAAATCCGTTAATTTCTCTAAAGTTTTAAGCAATTTGAAAAGCTGCACAAACTCTAATTGGAATATTGTCTGCCCAGCAGCAGAGTGAGGAGGAGTCAGTTACCCACCCACAAAATAAACCGTTTGCACTCTATTATGTGTAACTTTGACATCCCCCACCGATGGTAAATAGCACTACTGCATACAAACATACATACATACATACATACCTACATAAATAGTGTGCAAATTGGGAATTTGTGCAAAATGGGTTGACTGTCGATTGGTTGGGTTGCTTGGGCTGGTTGGGTTGCCTGGGTTGGTGTTTAGGTTGGTTGGACTTCGCGTCGCGTCGCGTCGGTGGCTGCAATTTACGGTTGCCCCGCTAATGTTATAAACATTGCAATTATTGCATTTACTCTCATTTACCAAATCCCGGCTCGTTATTGCCGTCGCGCACGGGACACTTAAAAAAGGCTAGCAGCAAAATGAAAATGGGGAAGAAAAAAATGGAAAAAATTGCCATGGAGAAAATTCACGCCTGGCGCCAGGCAGTCAGCCAAGTAGACTGAAACCCAGAGAGTACCCGAACCGTGGGCTATTAGCCGAAAACTTTTTGCATTGGCTATGGGTACTTAGCTGTAGCGCGGGAGGGGGAGCATAGACCTGTTCCTTGCCCGATTCTCACATGTTTGTCATAACAAACAACCGGGTGGCGAGCGGATGGAAAAGCATTTCCTCGATGTTGCTACAAAGTACCGTCTGCCATGATGCCATGCCACAAATAATTTGCACATTGCCAACGCAGGGGGCGCAGGTGAGAATAAAAGGGCAAAGAATTAAGTGCTCGGCGGTGCAACCTCATCGAGGGCAGGCAAGTCCAACGATTGAATTTTGGACGCTGAATAGCATTTACAGGCATTTGCAGGCTGTTGTTGCTGAGGAAGTCGCCTTAATTGGGTCATAAAAAACTTATTTGTGTAAAATTATGAAAATGAAGTCAATTGCAATAATTTGCAGCTTTCAACAACAACATTTCAACATCGAGTCGATTACTAGGAAACGGCCTGCGCCTCCACCACACACACATTTGTAGCATGGATAACACCAGTCGGCGCTGCGTGTGCGACAAAATGTAGCATACAGCATAGCGGGTGGAAATGCAAAAAAATATATATTTGTATGCACATGACGAAGCATTTCCAAGAACAGGCTAACATATGGATTCAGTTCATGCGTGCCACAGCCACGAGCAGTTGACAGGTGGCATATAATTTAGATAGCGGCACATAATACTCATGTATATCGGAGTGACTATATTTGTTGCTGTTTATGCCCCTTGCGATAAATACAAATATTCTGAGAAAAGCTAGCATTTGTATGCAACTATGATTTTTATTGCGATGTGTCTCAATCAATTTTTGAAACACTAAATAAACATTATGTTCTTACCGACACAAATATGCTTGCATTGCGATTTAGATGGATCTATAAATAAAAATATATATATAGAAATTTAGTTTGGCTTTGAAGATAAAATAAATAATTGAGATTCCAAGTGGGTAGGCTCTAAATCAATATTGGTTTTAATAAACAAATAAAATGTTTAAATGCACAGCAGATAAAATGGAATATTATCAATTATTCGAATAGCTAATTTTAAATTTTAAGTGTTGATAAGTCAATAAATCCAGTAGATTTCTATTTAATGTTGATAGCCAGATTAGCTTAAATGCTTGCAATAATGTTGACTGAAATATTTCTCATTGACTTAAAGCGATGAAAACGCTGAAGTTTTTGTGCATATCTCCATCTCTCTCTCTCTCTCTCTGCAGCTGTCTCATTGCGTATCAGCATCTCTGTCTATCCAAACCGCCCGTGCTCGGCATCTGTCTGTCTGTCAGTCAGTCTGTCTGTCTGTCTGTCTGTCTGTCAAGTGGAACGGTAAATTGCCGTTCGATATGCAAATGTCAGGCGCATTCATCGAACGCTGCGCTTTTCAATTGCTCGCTGCATTGAAATCAATTTAACTTTCTGCTCAATGCCAATCATTGACACCAGTCTACCAACCCACACACACACACAGACACTCGCACACACACACAGACACAATCACACACAACACACATTCTACACTCTACACTTTACTCTATTACTGTGCTATGCACATGGTTAGGCACCCACAGCTGCAACAGCAGCAGCAGCAGCACGACCAGTTCTGTCTATGACTGTCAGCAATCAGGTGGGGGAAGGGGGAAGCGGGAAGGGGGGTTCGGGGATTAGAGAGACTGAGCTGAGCTGGAAACCCAAAAACAAACAATCAGACGGAAACGAGCGCTTATTTCAAAATTCATTTGTCATTTTGTGACAGGCAAATGAAAATTTTCAACTGCTACTCCGTTGGTGGAGGCGTGGCAGCCCCATTCGGTATAACCAAGGCAACATTTTGTGCAAAATTCTCCACGTTATTTTTTTTTCTGCTGTCCCCTCCCTCCTTTTGGCTGTCTGCGTGGCTGCCGCTCACTTTTTGTTTTACTTCCGCATCATTTATGAAGTTCTGCAACTGAGCCAAAATGCAGATGAGTTTTTGCCTTCGAGCCACTTTGGCGATGTGATATCAATAAAAAACAAAAAAAAACAACGAGCGAAATGACGGGATACTTATGCAGTATGCTATCAACCCAACTGCCCCACAAATAGAAGCCCAACCAATCCAATTCCGATTGCGTTTCGATGGGATTTTGGAGGTAACCCTTGTTGACACATTTTGTGCCGACCACAATGCCGGAAGAACATGACATAATATAACGGTAAAAGGAAAATCATCGATTTCATTTGATTTATTTTGCGTGTCCCCTTTTTGTGTGTGGATGTATGGAAGGGGAGCAGTGGTGGAGGGGCAGCAATTCCTTTGGCAACCAACAAATGCCGCCATGTTCTGTGGGTGTCGCAATGTGGTTGACTTTGCCGTGTGTGTGTGTTTGTGTGTGTGTGTGTGTGTGAGTCCTGTTTGTGTGTGCGTGCTGGCAATAAATCTCGGAAATTGTGTCAGCAATTGGGTTAAACGTCACGGTGTGGCAGCCATATTGAAATTAGAGGCACTTCCGCTTTGGGGTTTGGGGTTGGCATTTTTTTCAGCGGCTTTCGGTCATTTCGGTAAGCGAAACTAAGTGCCGGAAGATATGCGTAGCAAACAACAAACACACACACACACACACACACGCAAACTGAAGTGGAGCTGCGGATTCTGGCCATGATTTGCCCGCAGTCCCGTTCAATGTTTGGCTTTTGTCAACATTTGTTTACATTTTCGCTTTTCGTTTTGGGCTGCTTTTTTTATTGATATTGTTTTTGTTGTTGTTGTTGTTGTTTTGGGTTCTATGGGTTCTGAGTTGCTCAAGGTGAAATCGCGAGATGAGTCGCATAGCAGCCAAAAACTCGAAGCCGAAAAGTTGATTGTGCAACAATTGCCATAGGCAAATTTATCAATGTAGTATCTTTAAATGTTTCTCATGATATTGTATATATGTATCTATCTATCTGTCTATCTATCTATAGCTGCAGGTTGTGTATCTACTTATTTTATTTATTTCTTTTTTTTTATAAATGTATTTTTAGTTTTAACAAATTTGTTTTGTTGATTTCGCATCATCACCAAAAATTGAATAACACACATCGTTGTAGCTACTATATAAAAAATATATGCATATACAAGTCTGTATATATATGTTTATATAAATGTCTGTTTGTCGATACCAAATTGTACAATTACGCAATAAACAAACTAGCTGTGCGTTCATGATTCCATTCTGTCCATCTCTCTCTCTCTCTCTATTCTAGCTATCTACTCAGTTGGAAAATGCAAATCATCTAAATGATCAAAGGTGATTTTAGTAAATTGAAAAATAAATAGATAAAAAGCGATTTTCAATATCGGTACTACGACTACGATTCTCGATTTGACTTACTTTTATGTGTTCACAGACATATGCTGAGTTTATAATTAGAAGCTTAAGACTAATCAATCGAGACCGACTGAAGTGATTTGTTCAACAGTTTATTTCTAGTTTGATTTTATTGCCAAAGTGTGTGAAAGATTAAGGTAATTTGATGAATAGTTTACGATCATATTGCTTTTAACATTTTTCGACGTGAAACAAACAAAAGAATTTATGAAATCAACATCTTCACAAAAGAGTATTGAGAGCATGGAAACACAGTAGCCAAAAATAACTTTCAACACAAAAATAATTTACCAAATATATTGATTAGTAAAAAAACAGAAGACAAATTTAGATCTTCTTCGCTGTTTCGTCAATAATAAATTCGAGAAATTGCATGCTCAACCAATTAGTAATTTAAATTTAAGTTGATCAACTTCAACTATTCAACTCGTTATTTATAGAACACGCTCTCCAAGCTCGTGCTTCATCAGGTTATTGTTCCACAGATCTCGAGCTTGGGAGAGCACAACAACAACAAAGAAAACCAGAAACAAAATAAAAACACAACTCATTAAGAAAGAAAAAAATACAACTTTTGTGTGCTTTGCAATTATAAATAAACAGTTTGGTTTGCTGCCTGTGTTAACTATTTTTAGCAAAGTCTTCGAACTTGAAGCTATTTTGGAATGCATCACATAATATGCAACAATAAAAACAAAAACAATAAGACTCGAAAAAGGCAATTCGTTGAATGGTTATATAAATAGTTAAGAGTATCTCGACCGTGTGCAGGCTGAAAACAACGTTTTATCATAATTACAAAGTTGCTGATAATAATGATGAGGACGCTTCTCATGATGATTTTGTTGACGTCGTTGACTTTTAAGTGAGTCGCGTGTGGGTTGAAAAATTTGCAAAATGGCAAAAATATGACAGCAACAATAACAACAATAACAATAACAACAGCAAAACACTGGCATAGTTTTGCAGCTGTTGTTGTTTTAATTTTTTTTTTTGTTTTTTCGTCGTCATTATTATTAATGTTGCGTTTTTTCGAAATCACTCTGGCAATTCTATATTTATCATGGCATGCAGTTTATTTATAAAATGGTTTCGCGGCTCGTTTCCATTTCCATTATATCAAAAAACTCAAATCGCATCAACAACAACAGCAACAATAATAATAATGAGTGACTGATAAATTACCGCAGGCAAACACACACACACAGAGCAATAATAGAAATAATAATAACAACAGCGACACAAACAAAACAATCAAGTGAACACCTTGAAGTTCGCAGAACTTTGAATGAATCAGCGCAACAATGGTAAATATTTGAAAATCTGTTTGTTTTTATTTATGCACCATGATGGATTGTTGTCGTTCACCGAGATTGCCAGAAATACATAACATGGCAAGCAATTGCACACACACACACACAAACACACATATATCACACAGATACTTAACTAATATACGTGCTGCAGGTTAACGCTCCTCTCACTGACTTAAGCGTATCCGTATCCGTATCAGTAACAGTATCTTCATCTGCATCTACGACTATGACTAGTACTGTCTGGTACAACAGCTGTTGGCTGCTGTGATTTACAACCGCCAAAAATATACAAATATTTATGCATGTATCTCAACTGTCGCTCTCTCGCCTGTCTCTTCAAAGGTCCAACGTGAGGCGCGTGCCCATAAATCAAACTTGTTATGGGGACCAAGCTGAAAGACGACGTGATTTTACCCACATGACTACCCCTACTGGCTGCAGCATTAAAAACCATGGCACACATACGCTCTAGCAAAAAGAAACATTATCAGTCAGACTGGTTATTCATCTGTGATCTAAAGATTGCAAATTTAATGAGAAAACTACAGACCACAGCATACTCTTCCTAAGGCGCAGTCAAACTGCTTTGCTCTACTATACCATATTATACTAAATATATAATTATGCATTTTTATATTTCATATTTGACAAGCATCATTCATAGCTTGAAATGTTTTTATTATTTTAATCTACGTCAAATACATAAATACATTTTCAATGCGTTACACATCTTATTGCAATATTGTAACACCCGCTCGCTTATAACGACTTATCAAACACAGAGATTTCTTAAGAATATGTATTCCTCTTCCAACATATCATAAGAAAAACAAATAACAAATAACAAATATGTAAAAGTCCATAGTACTTTTACGCTCGGGAATCCCGCTGCAGCATTTGTAGTGCGTATAAATACAATAATATTTCACCCGGCTCTATCTAATCTGTAACTGTGACACCATGAGTCAGAATGAAAACAAAAAAACAATAATAATAATAATAATAAAAACAACAAGAACGAGAACGGGGCCACCCCTTTCGGAACCACTTGGCGACCGCTCACAAATTGATTACGGGTGCTTCAATTTCAGTTCGGCACAAATATTAGCACAGCTCAACCCCCTGCCCGTTGTCCCACCGGAACTCCAACAACTGTGGCAATCCTAGAACGCGACTCGTGACTGAATGACTGACTGACTGACCCGCC